GTTATATATTTATTAATAAAATATATAATTAATTAAGTAATTCATAAATAAATTTAAATAAAAACCTGATTTTTGAAATTTAAAATATCAAACCTTAATTTTGAAATGTGTATAAGTAAAAACATGATTTATGTATACTTCCCTAGAGAAAATTACACAAAACCCGGTGTTTCAGATCCAACTTCAAAAATCAGGGTGAAGTTTTTTTTGTTCAAAAATAAGGTGTTTGATATTTTAAATATTAAATATTAAATATACAAATTTCACCCTTAAACCCTAAAAATCAAATACCACTCACATCTCCCTCTTTCTCTCTCTTTCCGTTTCTTCCCGCCGCCTCTCCCACTTTTCTCTCCCTCGTACGTGGCCGTCATCGACGAAGACCACAGCGGAGGGCGAGGCGCTCACGCGACGCCTCCAAGCATCGCTTGAAGCGCCAATCTGTGCGGTAGTTGATCATACCCTCTCTCATCGAACTGAAAGCCACCCCCAATCGACGACGACAAGCGGCGGCAGCAGCGCCGCCTCGAGGACTTAGCTTCTTTCTCTCTTCTCAACCTCTACCGACGTCCGAACGCCCTTAATTAACTGCTAAAAGCGACAGCAACACCAGGAGACACAGTGGTGCTCACTATTCGAAGCAACGCAGCAGTAGCGTCGCCTCAAAAACACCAGCAGAGCTCTATATTTTTAGGGAGTTTTTCATTTTTGATTCATCTATTGTGCGGTGGGTGCGTGTGGCGGGTGCTTTGCGTGTGAAATGGCACAGGGGATGTGATCTGGTTGTGGTTGCAGATCAAATTCGAAGAAATGAATTGGCGGTTGTCGTTGTTGGTGGCGGCTGCAACCACGGTGGTGGAGTGGGACGAACCCTGTAGCGGCTGTTGCGGTGGTGGATCTTGGTGATGGTGGTGTTTTGTGCAGCGACGATTTAACTGTGGGGGCGGATCCGGTGGTTTTTGGTGGTGGTTTTGGAAATGACGGTGTTATTACTAGTTGTCGTGGTGTTTAGGTGGTGATGATGTTGGTGTGGTGGTTGTCCTGGAGGCCATGGCGATAGTGCAGAGGTGGTGGTGGACCTGGTGAATTTGGTTTTCTGAGATTAAAAATATAATCTGTGACCAATAAATAAGTAGGAGCATTGATTCGTCAATATTTCAATCGTATATCAAAGTGTAAAATTAGGTTTAAAAAGATTACCACTTAGGAATTCATCATCCTAGTATATTTATTATACATTTAAAAACTTCAAATTACGTTCAACGCTATTTGCATTCAATGTATTTATATCATTCATCCTTGCATAATTAGATTAATTTAGTTATAATTTCATTACAACACTTCAATTTTATTGTTTCGGTTAAGGTCACGGTAATAGGAATTGAATTAATCAATCTTCGTGTGACGATACTCGGACTCAATAAGTCCACTTTATTACCTGTTTACCAATCCTTCACTTGCGATGGTTTTGATTTGAAACATATTTTTGTGAACAAAGGGTATTGTTTGGAATGGGACAACTTCATCAGAGATACTTGTATGAGATACAGAATTATTATTAATTGATTTTTATTTTATTTTTTTGAAATACAAAGTAGGTTGATTCTCTATTTACTGCACAATCCTCTTTTTAACAATCCGAGTGTTGATGAAGTGATACACATGATTTGATTTCTAAACTTCCAAGGACTCGATCTTTAGAATTTACGAATTTCACTTTGATTGGAAGAAGAATTTGATTTTCGAAACTTAATTAGAATTTGCTTTGGAGAAAACTTGATATTCTTAAACTTTGGGACTTGGACTTGAAGAATTACTACTCTTTTTCCCCCTTCTATTCTTCCTGACTTGGAGAATTTCCTCTCTTTTTCTTGTCCAATCCCATCAATTGCAAGACCAATAGTTGAAATTCAAGAAATTAATACAAAATCTTGATTACGGTAACCCCCGGAAAGGAATCATACCCTTCCAGTTACTTATTCTAAGACGACGATGAGATTAATAAAAAATGCTTGCTCTAGTCGTGAGAAGCAATGCACAATCGAGCAACAATATATTGTTGAGATTAAATGGTACCCAACAATATTAAGAAAGAAAGAAATTAAATGTAAAATCTTATTCGTTATAGTGTACAATCCGGTATACTACAACATATTTCTAGCTAATACCATTGAGAAAAAAACACTCAAACAGGTAAATCCGAATAAGAAATGCTACAATTTACACAAGGGAACAATGTAAAAAATCAAAGAATTCTCATCGATCAGTTTAAATTCTCTTCAACAGATTCCAGTAATGGCCATTTTAAGTCATCAAAATCAATGGCTTTGTATGGTGTGGAGAAATAGTGAGAATGCATTTTATCAACCTGTTGAACTAAAGATTGTCTCTGAACCATTTTAGAGCTCCATTTGCTACAGACCTGCAAGAACAAGGTTTTTCGTCAATGCAGAATAATACTTGCATATGTGCCGCAAAAATGGCACGAAAGTTACTAATTGTTCAGGCACAAATGCCCATCTGTTTGCTCAAAACAACCAAAAAAAGCATACAAATGCAGCTCCGGTTATATTGGCATAAATATTATCATAAAAAACCAAAATTTTCCAATGGAATAAATGTCTGCAGATATTCAACAGCAATAAAAAAGGGCTTTATTTCTTGCAAAGTTGGGGTTAACTTCATGCATCCTTTTCGCTACTTTATTCAATCCATAGCAACATCTACTGCAACACCAGTAGCCAGCGTCCCAATGACATGTCAACAGGCACTCGTGTCATGAAATGTGACAAATTTTATACATAACTATTGCAGTATTTTTCATTTATTCAGCTTTGACACCAGCTCTGAAGAAACATGTGTGGAGATGCAGTACAGATTTACTAGAGAAGATAGAAATTAAGCTTGAACCTCTAGAAGTCCACATTTTACATTAACCAAGTGATAACTTCAACCCTGTAATAAAACTAGAAACTATCCTCGTTGCAAATTTGAAGGTCAAATATATCTAGTACATTTTATTACCCAAGTGGAATAAAAATTGTCAAAAATGAAAATGATGATGGGAAAAAATTACCCTGCAAAATCTTTCAATTGCTTCCACAAGTTATTTTGGTCTTCCGATTCATCAGGTTTCTCAGTAATAGATCCTGTTTCACTTTCTGTAGTTTGAGCTGCAATGCAAAAATCAGATCAGACAGTAACATTAAAGAACATCGAGATATTTCACATGCACAGAAAAAAAATAATAATAAAACAAATCTACAAAGGAAATTAAACAACATGACCGAAGGAATAAAGTATCCATACAAGAAGCATTAAGAATATGATATCTGTTTTACTTGGATATATTAGAAGAACTGCGTACCAGGTTGTTGAACCTTTGGACGAGTTTTTGTACGGTTGACAGGGGTATTTTCAAGAGAAGCAAGTTCTTCAAGCAGTTCGCGTTCCTTCGTGCTGAACATTTAATGAGAACAATATGCCAAATGTAAGTAAAATATGTGAGTAGCATATCATTTAATTATTAGAAGAAAAAGGAACAATTGGCAGCATTTCTTATGGCACAGATCTCAGCAGCACAAGAAACTAACATCACCATCACACCAAAATATTAATGAAAAGACGAAGACAACTACTCAAGATTGAGGTACAAACAAGAAGATCGACAACCATGGGTACAATTAAACAGAGTATTTTCAATCCACATATACACGGACAATATTAACTCATGTAAACATAAAGGCTATTAGATGGAAAATATTGTGAGATATCAAAAATAACTGGAACAATATAAAAACAAGCCTTTGATTTGCCAAGGATTTTAGCCACATTAGAGATGCATAATATACAGTAGACTAAACAAGAGTGGCAGTAGCTTACCTGACACGCTTTGGTATGCTAACTTTAATAGTGAACAAATGATCACCACGTATTGACGGTCTGTTCAATTTAGGTGCACCTTTTCTTGCCAAGACAAGCACATCTCCAGGTTGAGTACCTGGAGGAATCTGCATTTCAGTAGTCCCTTCAACCGTCTTAACCTATTACAAATTCCAAAGAACAACAGATTGTCATTTGGCGAACACAGGTAAAAACAGAACGAATATCTGTTATGATTCAAACCAAATTTTCCCGAGAGTTGTGCTTCTTGAGTGAGAGTTCAGCTTTACAAATTTAGCAACTATCTTTGTTTTAGTTAGCAGTGATAATCCCTTATTCTAACCAAATTCTTTATTAAAATTTTTCACAAACTCAATTACACATTCTAATTCAACAGCATGGTGACTCCACGCATTCAAAGCAAAATCAAACTTTAATGGTCATACTATCTCTCCATTTTAAACAAATGTGCTCACTCAACTCGCTTATTTCATTTTATGCGATGCTCCAAAGATGTAATAAGAAAAACAGAGAGAATTCACAAATTTTACCCATGGTTTACACTTTGAGATTTTCCGGAGTACTACTTACCTTTGCTCCAAGTCATTCACCTTTTACAAGTTAAAATAATAGCTCCCAGCAAATAAATGCCTTCTATTATCAATTTTTGCGTCTTTCAGTTTTTCAACTTTAAGAAGAAGGTTGGAGCTATAGCTAGAAGACAACGTACCATTATATTATTTTGCAACGCTAAAATTTTAAGGAAACTCAAATAAAAACTAATAAAACGTATTCTACAGGTTCCTGATGGAGATTTAATTGGAGACATGCCGAAACAAGTACTTATTTTCGGTGTAAAGATAAAAGATAGATTCTGATACTATTCTCTTGTATTTTTATTTATTTTCTTGCTGTAATTGTAAGTTTTAAGTTAATAAAATTTTCTTTTTGCTATTGTGGCAACTTTTTTGTTGGCGATTTTAAGTATAAATAGGACTGGCATTTCCAAATAATGTAGACAACTGATTAGCAATACTCAGTGACACAGAGTTGCTCTATAAATTTTTCTCCTCAAAGAAGATCATAATCAAGAGAAGTTGCACCTTGACAATAGTCCCCAATATGGCATCCAGATAACTGATTGAAACTGTTGAAGAGAGATTTATGCCTTCTCTTTTAATTTCTGGAATTTCTTCAATATCAAGATAGACATAAAGATCTCCAGGTGGCCCCCTATTGAAGGAGAGAAGGGACCAGTGACAGTAAAAACCATGCATACAGGAGTTAGCATCTTTCAGATATTACTAGTGCCACGTGTATCAAAAAATACAAATGGAGATATAAAACAAATTTGACATGATTATAATACTTGTCATGTTGTTTTTTACTTTTACCCAGCATTTTAATAACTATTGTTTTTTCCTCAACATATTCCAGAATAATTAAATGGAGCTTGTCAAAGCCTTCACACATCGTGGTTAGCCCCTGTTTGACACACATTTTTTCAAAACTCATTTTCAACAACACATTCTTAAATAAAATAATATTTTCCATCACACCAATAACTTTTCCTTACTTTTTAACCACATATTTCCCATCATATTACTATTTAAAATACATTCTTTCCTCAATAATATCCATCAAACAACCCCTTAGAAATTACCAAAAAAAATAAAAAAATAAAAACATGATAAAACATGATTAGTCTTTGCAATCAGGTCACAAACATCATACAATAAAGGAAAAGATTATACTAAACAAAAATGTACAGTTTATGCATGCTTCAGATATCTTCTATGACCACTGGTTCGAAAGTTGCTCCTTGTACATCTTAATCAAAACCATGTAACCTTAATGGAAAGTAGAAGATAGTAATGCCTAATTGCCTAAGAAACATGATGTTGCTTTAAGAGGTCCCATTTGATGAAGACCTTCCTTCCCATGGGGTTTTCTTTATGTTAAATGTGACCACAAACAAACACGTGATTGTAGAGAAAATTATTAAGTTAACATAAATTAGAAATTAAACAATATGTAGAACTATAATTATGAGCATGAACAAAAGGATAACATCATCAATGAATGAAGCAAATATTCCAATGCAGTGCATAATTTGTAACCAATTAAGGATGACAATGCAGAGACTAGAATATAACATCCAAATCTCAATCAGGTAGCTAGATCTCAGGACCGTATCAGAAGCACAGAACCATGAAGTCAATATAATACATACCCCTTAGGTCCTGCATCGCCCTCTCCAGCAACTCTGAGAATACTGCCCTTGCTCACTCCAGGAGGAATTTTGACTTTGATATCCTTTTTAACCCGTATCCTGCCCGCACCGGAGCATTTGCGGCAGAATTCAGATATCATTTCACCATTCCCGCCACAATTTGGACATACAGAAACCTAAAAGATTCATTCCAAATATGCAATAGTACATCAAGTCAAGTCATTGACACGACTGAACGATAGTGAAAACAAGGGAATTAAGCCTATATTGGAAGGAAGAGGAATGATAACTTTGAGAATTTGTGGACTTCTCTATCCTTCCTTCCTTCCTTAAGAGAGCTGTAATTTTTGTTTTTCTTCAAGCAACTAATATAGGCCTTAAACGACTATAACACTATTTACTCACCTAATTATATTGTTCTTATTCTTAAATTCATTGTATACTATATTGAATTTCATGATCCTTCAGTCAACATAACGAATAGAAGGCAAAATGAGCTAATCTAACAGATCTAAAGCATCCAACAAGTACAGTTTATAAGGGAATAGTTACTGCAAATCATGACTAGCAGCGACAGAAGTCGAAAACAAAACTTTTGATCAAATAAAAGGCATATCACTGGTCACTGCATTATCTTCAATTATCCAGTCAAGTGATACTAAAAGTAGTAAATGAGCTTTTTTTACATGCATGACCATTGAAGCCCACTTAAAGGAAGCAGGGGATATAAATTTTGAGAACCCCGTGTAACACCATTGTTCATCCGTAATTGAAATCTGTTATAAATTTATTTTTTTTCCCTGTTTTCCATTGGATTGTCAATTGTTCATCTTTGTCAAATCAAGTAAAAGAATGCTGTCCACTACTTCTACTGGTGTCAAGCAAATCATGATGATAGAAGCAAGTGGTCAATGAAGCACTTGGATGGATACCTGTGAAAACATGCCAAAAGGTGTTTGCTCAGTTCTCATAACCTGACCTCTACCGCCACATGTTGAGCATATCCTCATTTTGGAGCCTACTTTTGCTCCAGTACCATCACAAACTTCGCATGTTTCAAGATGGGATAGCTCGAATTCCTTTTCTGTTCCAAATATAGCAGCCGAAAATTCCAATGTCATGTCATAACTGAAATATATTTTCAACCAGTTAGTCCTCTCTAATAGGTTTCACTAGAGCTGAAAGATTTTCATCATGACAAATAAGAGTAACAAAACATATTTGTAAAAACATCTTCAAAGTTGCTAGTATATGAAAAAGTTCCACATAGGCCAACTTCGCAGCAATCCGGCACTCCAGTTCAAACACATGCCTAAAACTTTCGAACTAGACTGGAGGGTACATGTAATCATTGCAAAAGGAGCTGTGTGTTTAATTTCAGTAATTTGTTTGGACTGATTATTTTCTGCACTATCTGGAAAGTTCAGAAAATGAATACTGTGTAACTATCAGCTTGTCCACCCATAGCACTATTCATTCCATCTTCACCATATAAATCATATAAAACGCTTATTTTGTCATTTAAAACAATCCGAACAGTCGGACTCACCGCAAATCTTCACCTTTGGTAACAGTACTGCGACGAGGCATTCCAAATCCACTTCCATCCATTCCAGGGAATCCACCCATACTAGGGCCAAAAAAGGCCTCAAATAGATCAAAAGGATTTGTCTGTAACAGAAAAGAAATACAATTATGCATAGTTAAAACAGCAGAAAATGCAAATATAAGTACATCAATATTCGAGCGTTTCCTTCTCAATGTTGCCAATGATGTCCAGTCACATGTTAAGAAAAGATGAAGTATTTTTGCTAATTAGACATAAAGTTATCTTCTTCGTTATTTTCAAAGCCTTCTACATGCATAAATCACTAGCACAGGGTTTTCAGTAATTTGTGTGGACCGTGATTCTTTTTCTGCACAATGTGGAAGTTCAGAAAATGAATACCGTGTAACTACCGGCTTGTCCACCCATAGCACTTTTCATTCCATCTTCACCATATCGATCATATAAAGCCCTTTTTTTGTCATCTGATAGTACCTGACAATAATACACTTCAGGACTCACTCAATACACAAAAACGCACAAACACCAATGCTTGCAAGGAATAAACAAAGATATTGCAGTCTATCAATTATTGATGTATCCTTCTTCATCTTTAAACATTATAGTACTCAGTGACATGGAATATTTTCATGAATCTGAGATGATAAGCATCATAAAGAATGGAACCCATGCGATAAAGGCCTCGAGGAGAAAAATGCAATGAATAATCACAAAATTGAGCACCCCAGAAAATCCAAATCAGACTGAAGGAGAATACAGAGGTGAAAAAATTGCAAATGCACCAGTTCAATGCATCTAGAAGATATCCTTACTGAGAATAATCATAAACACAGAAACCAAAAAAAACCAAAGAGAAATATCAAAAGAATATACATATAGGAAGGATGATTCATATAATGGACAGTCGGACATTATAGAGAACTTGGATCCTGATGTGCTTAAACTCTGGCATGAGAGCTGGAAATGGGCATTTATCCAAACATATGAATTTTGGATACGTGAACTCAGCAATATAGTAGTATTTTCAATCTTTTCTCTTTATTTCTATGGTAAAATGAAGTTTAATATAATCAAAATGATATGCACATATCAGTATGAAACAGCTATAAAACACATCAGACATCTTTGATATACTTCCAAAATTTGTAATCATTTCAAAATGTTGAACAAGTGTCCCATGCTGTTTTCCAAGTGTCCAAACAGTCCAAAACAAGTATATCAAGAATTCAAGAGTTGGAGCAACATAGATTGTATATACATCTGACTGCTAAAATCTAATCAATGGAAATATACTAAATGTAAAATTTGAAGTTGCACAGAAAACATTGCTGCAGAAATGACAATGGTCACTATGAAACAACACAACTGCTCTGAATAACACCTTAACCCAACGAAAATTGAACCCACTTCCATCAGAGGTTAGTCCTTCATCTAACCATTTTCTAGCTAACAGGAACAGTAAATTATGATAGTAATTTGTCTGAAAAGATAACTTGGAATGTCTTTTGAATGGAAAAGGTTAGGTGGAAAGAGCTAGAAAAAGCTTTCTGAACTTTGAAGCTTTGCAAGTGGGATTGAATTAGAAACTTGGCTGCAACCATGAAGCGGAGTTGCAAATGGTATAGATTTCATGTATTTGAACTTTAGACCTAGCTGAACTTAGAGCTCGTTTGGTACAGCTCAAAATCGAATTAAAATTGAAAATATAGATGTTAGTGGGTCCCACTCGTCTAATAAAAGTAAACAATAACTGCTAATTTTTCAATTTTAATCCGATTTTAATCTCTACCAAACACAATCTTAGTACCATTCCTGAGCATACCAAGATGAAACAAGTAAAGAAAATGTAAATACTTGGAAAATCGTGATTGTAAATCGAAAAATTTACACATTTTACTTGATAACAGTTTCCTTTACATATAACACATGCAGCAATCTCATGTACATGGTCTAATAACATAAATTCATGAATTCAAAATAAATAAATGTTGGCCATTATAGCAGGACAAAAGATAAAAGAAGAAAAAAATCTAGACGTCAAACTCATTCCTATCGCTGAAATAATGAAATTGTTCGACGAGTTCTAAGTCGCATATGGTGAATATTATTGGCATGACAAATTTGTAGTAAAAAATGAATAATCAAAAGATGGTCAAAGGGATTAGATGCTAGAACTGTTGGTTTCCATCCTTACCTCGTAAGCAGCACTAATCTCCTTAAATTTTTCAGTTGCTCCAGGTTCCTTGTTGACGTCAGGATGGTACTAAAGATCAACATGAAAAAGAAGATGTCAAAACCCACTAGGGAAAAGCAGTGGATCTTAATTAGTAGTATTATACGTAAAGAAAACTGGTGAGCTTCATACTGTAAAATTAGTTTCAAGTTCATAATATCATCATAATAGGTAAGAACAAACAGAAATTTGAAGCAATTAATTACTATAATTTCTGAATCAAAATGTTCAATAGTGTCCAAACCCTGATTGCAAGCTTCAAGCAAGGGTTTCTCATCAATCCTTTGAAAGAGATCCCTAAACATAGATAAGTAAAAAGTTCAATCCCTTGCAAGCTGGTGATTTGGGTAGAGGCGTTAAGTGGGGTGAGCTATCTCGCTCGATAGCTCATTGGCTCATGTGCGAGCTGGCTTGCCAAATACAGAGAAATATGCAAAAAAAAATTTAAAAAAAAAAAAGAAGAAAAGAAAAGATATGGTGAGTCCGTGATGGGCAAGCCGATCTGGACTTTTGTTGGAAGTTCGACTTGGCTCGTCCCATTTAACACCCCTAGATTTGGGTAAGTACAAAGACTCAGGAACATAGGGAGAAGACAAAGGCTGTCCTACAGATTGCAGGAAGTCCTAGGGCTTCAACAGAAATAAGGTCTTTCAAGTTGTTGAAATGACGACAAACTTGTAACTCCCTAATTCCTACATAATGCCAGTATCTCCGGAATTCATGTACCAGGAATTAGGAGAACGAGTTTTAATTAATTGTACTCTCTTCTTTGAAGCACCTACATCTAATGAGCCAATACTTCGACATAAAACTCTTTTTGTCACCTTACACTAGAACCACTTCATCACCCATTTATGTCAACCTTCTTTTCGTTTACGGGTGATGTTATTCTTCTTATTCCTTCGCTTAGATTAGCTTCCCTATGCTGGACAGTAATAGAATCTTTCTGATAAGAAGCAATTATACGGGTTGGAAAAAAAAATTCCTCAGTTTTTCCCTGTGCAGATGGGAATTAAAAGTGAAGGCCCCTAATCCTTTGTCCCCCTAAGGAATTCTTCTCAAACCAGCAAATGAGAAAACTGTGGCATGAACTAGTTTTTCCTCTAAGAGAGGTGATGATGTCCAATCCTCTGTGTGATATACTATAATGCAACATTATGCTCTTTTCAAGAACTTCTCCTATCTCTCTTCATCTACGCTATCACCCAAATGGACCGTATATTTTCAGATAACAAACTTTTGTAAAAAAAAAAAAAAAGTGCATAGTATCCACGTCAGAGAAAAGTCATCAACTGCCATTAACTAACCAATAAACAGTCCATAAAAATCTCGCAATTAACACCATTGGAGGTTAGTAAGCTTTCAAGATTCCAATTAATGTCTTCTTAGAAGACCATTTGTAGACAATGTTACTGTGTCGATGTTATAATACCACAAAACAAAATTTGTAATAGTAGCATTTCAAAATAAACAACAATTCCAATACTTTCAATAATCTGCATAAATCACAGTATTTTAGGTTAGAGCAAGTATCACACTTCGATCAGCTGAAAAGAATAATAACCTTTAAGACCCATCAAATATTTTCAAATAAAACAATCACTTAAACACAGGAATAGTAAAGTGCCAAAGTTTTAAGAAATTGGAAAAGTAGAAAAGAAACCCAAAAATCCAAGCTGGGTTTAGTACCTGCCGAGCCAACCTTCTATAAGCAGCCTTAATTTCCTTACTATCGGCAGACTTTGGCACGCCGAGAGTGGAGTAATAATCAGCTGCGGCCACGACCACTCTCCCAAACCTCCTTGCAGATATTTTCTTATTGAATTGAGAAGCAGAAGACAGAGAATTTGGTGGAAACTTGTGGGCCCACAAACGGGACCTACCAGCGAAGAAGCAGGAAGATGAAGATGAAAACGGAGGAATTGAATTGCTCCGGGTTTGGGGAATGTGGAAGAGTGATGTGGTAGTGGCAGTGGCGGTGTTCATTTTGGGAGGATTGGATAGTGTTGCGAAAATTTTACGGTAAATGGTTTTAGATTTGAAGCGTAAGTGTTTGTTAAATGTTCTAAGAGAATGCTGAGAAATGTTTGATTTTGCCCATTGTGCTAGCAGCGTCTGTCACGAGAGAGATGGTGGGTGGGACTGGAAGAAAGCTAGGGGCGGTGAGGCGAACAGAGGGAAGCCAAAAATTGTGGTGCAGCGCGCTTAGAAAATTAGAAATTATACAGATCACGTTTTAAATACGATTATAATTTATTCTCTTTTCACTATAAATAAAATAAAATAAAATACAAATATTAATTACAAGGGTGAGTTTTTTTTTTTTTTTTTTAAGTCCAAAATTTCTCAAATAAAAAGTGGAATACAAACCACCCAGCTTATCGAATTCTCAGTTTAAGTAGCTCTCGAAGCAATTTCATAGCTACTTTGGACTAAATTTCCTCATTCGAGACAGAATTAAAATTTGACTTCGGACACTAAACCAAATAAAGAGAATAACTCCCGTGCAAACTTATTGCGTTTCATATTGATTGGCCATACATATAGTTATAGTTTTCTCGTGAATCTAGTCAAAATATAGCATAATCAATCATAGAATATTAATTCGCTATCTTTGAAACTTCTTTGGAAGCTTCTCTATTTGACTCGTTCCAGCACACTTTGGTCATCCCCAATAGGATGGCTCGTTAACCCGCATACTACTACAATTTTAAGCAACTTGGGTGTTGGTATTCCATGGGCGACAAAAAAAGAGAGCTATGATGTTAAAATAGGGGCACAACAAAGGCGCCGAAGCCTCAAACTCATTCAAAGTTAGAGAATTATAAAAGAAAAAGACTTTCTCCAGAGCAATGCATCAACAAAATAGTCCTTCCATATAGATCATCATGGCATGAACTTTGTCAATAGATTCCTAGCTTCCTATTAATCTTGATTAGTTCCATCTTCAGGTTTTTCTAAGGGTTATTTTTTTGGACCGGACCCATTTTTAAACTGTCTCTTGAATCATCTTCTTATCCTACATGTGATTTTGGAGTCCACGCTCATTCAATCACTTGTTTTTGATTGCAATCATTCCTAAAAAAGGGAGAGGCGAGGAATTGTCCCCTTCCGTTTAATTCATGTAGCGAACCGAACTAGGTCCCCGATTTTGTGAACTACCGAATCAAGCTCAAGATCTCCATTACGTCATACATTATATTAATCCGGAGAACTTACGTTCAATTGTAAATCATTCATTCTGTATCCATCTAAATGATGCTAGGCTACTTCACCAAGGTGCACTTTGCTCGGCCACATGATGAACATGTTTTAAGCTAACTACATATTGAGCACTTAAGCGGAGCCTGTCGTCACTCATTCCTCCATTGTTCCAAAGAGCTTCAGGGATATTCCTTTCCAGCATTTTCATCAGAGTTTCACGATCCATCTCGTCCAAGAAGAACAAGTCCCATCACACCACTTGGCAATGCCTCTTTCAGAAGATATGGAGCTGTCCAACTCAAATGATAAGCACATATTATAGACAAAATCAAGAAATCTGAGAATGTATTACATGGGAAAGAACAAACTGGATTTACATTAATATCCGAGAAAAAACACAACAAATTCAAACAACATTTTCACCTTAATAAGAATCCGTGTCCCTTGACACATTATAGACAAAATCAAGAAATCTGAGAATGTATTACATGGGAAAGAACAAACTGGATTTACATTAATATCCGAGAAAAAACACAACAAATTCAAACAACATTTTCACCTTAATAAGAATCCGTGTCCCTTGACATTCAATAATGTAGTTTATGTTCATTTTCAAAATAAAACCACGAATCCCAATCATTTTTCTAGTCCACCAAATTAATTTCCAGTGGTTAGAACTTGAACATTTTCAATTTCTTGTTTCGGTTCCTTTTCTTCTGAAATGTTATCCAAGTTTTCCTCTAAAACCGGACTGATTTTGAACATTTCATGCATTTCCAGAGCTGCAAACTTCTCTGTGTCTCCTTTGAGAAGTTCAATCACTTCAAGCATTGTTGGTCTCTTCTCGGGTTGATTATGACCACAGATGAGCCCTATGAGAACAATCATTTTCAACTCTTCTTCCACGTACTTCCCATTGAGCCTCAAATCCACAAGTTCATTGAATTTTCCCTCACGTGCCAGAGGTAGGGCCCAATCCGTGATCGATCGCTTTATTGTCGAACTGAGCTTCTCTAGGGGTTTCTTTCCACTAGCAAGCTCAAGCAAAAGAATGCCAAAGCTGTAAACATCACAGCTTTCTGATGCCTTTCCTAACATTGCATATTCCGGGGCAAGATAGCCAAGAGTACCCTTAACTCTGGTGGTTACATGTGTTGCACCATCAGGTATGAACTTCGCGAATCCAAAATCGGCAACTTGAGCTTGAAAATCTCCATCCAGCAATACGTTGCTAGCTTTAATGTCTCGGTGTATTATGTGGGGGGTTGCGTAGTGATGTAAATAGCTGGAATAGAAAAGTTATCAGTTCAATGGACAGAGGAGGATGAAAGAAACTGTAATTAGATTCGAGTATGTTTGGCTAAGCAAAAAAACAAAAAAGGATAGTTAACTTTTTAATAACTCAATGTTTCCAAACATGTTTGGCAAGTTACTTATTTTCAACATTTATCAATATGAAAATTATTTATGTTGAAACTTGCTAACTTACTTATAAATAAAATTTTGAAGCTTAGCCAAACATACTCTCGGTACTTACGCAATGCCCTCGGCAGCTCCAACTGCAATGTTCATCCGCCGGTTCCAGTCAAGATGGCATTCAGCAGAATGAGGCCCATGAAGATGAGAGAGTAAGCTCAGATTAATCATGTAATCATAGACAATAAGACGTTCTTGCCCTTCAGCACAATAGCCACGTAAAGTTAGCAAATTCTTGTGCCGTACTCGAGCAAGTATCTCGACTTCAACAGAAAATTCCATCTCTGCTTTGTTACTCCAGGACTTTAACCTTTTCACGGCTATCTGGAAATTTCATCAACTGGCATCAGCCATTGATCAAAATAAAGGAAACTTAAACAATATATGCTCAATATGGAGATGACGTTCTTAGACAACTACAAAGCGTGTGTGATTTCATCTACAAAAGGTAAGTAAAGTAATGATCCAAGAAATTCTATAAACATGAATATTAACTTGATTAGGCACTTTAAGTATCTCACAGAGGTTGTGAAAGAATGGCTTAATCACTAACAAGTTCATAGTTTCAGAAATGGAAGAGGAAGCCAATATGCACCTAGAAAAACTGGTAAAAAGTAAAAGAATTAGTGATTTGAATGCCAATCAGGTAATTATGAAATGACCCTCACTTGATCCAATCATCATATGCTAATTTTTAATTCTATTAGAAATTACATTCCGTATTTTCAATGTCAGGTACCCCTGCAGATGACAGATGCATTTTCTTGGCAAGGAACATGTCACCAACATAACCTTGCAAGATCTCTTGGATTATCTGAACTCAGCTAGTCAAAAATGAAACCTTGGACTTCACAGTCTCCCTGAATCTTTAACTCCCTTACCTAGACAGAACCTCCAAATAATGAAAGAAGAACAAACCGAACTAGTCCACAGACAAAGTACCTGAACTATTAGCTTCTCCAATCACATGAGACAATGATTTTGTTTTCTAATATTCAACTTCATACCATCATTTTTGAGGGATGGTTATGCTAAGGACCCAATCATAGCACAGAAGAAACTGAGCAAGTTAAAACCAACTCTTTTAGCTTATCCTATTCCTATATTGGTATATAATCTATGACAACTGATAAGATCATCTGCTTGGGCTTTGGATGCCATGACCAACTAGTACTCAGACTTTTATCAATTATAAGAGCACTGCTATGTGAAACCTAGGTTTGCAAAAATAATGCTCAATGTACGTGTTTTTATTAAGTCAGAAAATGCTTTCGCTTCACCGTCAAGTTATTTTAATACACACCCATAGCAAAGTTCCATGGTTCATTCTCATTTCCGATCTTGTAAAACCTTTAACTACCACCAAAACAAAGCCATTGAGCAAAACCCAGTATATGCGCACTTGATTGCATTTCAAATGTTCTGAAATCCCAAGTGCTTGTAGCTCACTCTAAGTTTTGGCTATGATAAAGTTCCACTGTTCAATTCTAAGTGTATCCATTTTGTTTTTCTTCTACAAAACCTTTAATACAGACAGATCATGGTCTTCTCAACTACACTAATAAAACATCCAAATATGAACATATTTATTACTGTTTCTGATACCCTTCAAGCCTTCACAACTTTGAAAATCAGTCCACTCTACATCTTGCTAAAGTCGTAGAAATAGCAATGTGAGACTGATATCCAGACCATACAATATAATACCTCATGGTTTTCTTAGAATCTAATTTCCGCAATAAATTAGATGAGAATGCAAGTGCCAAGTTGGATAGTCTAATTTGCTAGTTAAGGTCCTGATAAACAAAAGGGGAAAAGAAGGTTCGTGTATATAATCTCTAAAGGCTGAGAAACTAGATAAACAGAGCTCAAAGGCCATTCATGTACCAAAAACTCGGTTATAATTATCTTAAAAAATTGATGAAAAACACATCATTAGTATTCTCTGGAACGGGATAATCACACAGTGAATCCATGAGCGTATGGCTACGTTTTATAAGCAAACAAAAGTTTACTTTCTTGAAAAGTGAGCAAAGGCTTACTTACAGAAAGTAAGCCTTCAAACTAAAAAATCCACAAAAAGAAAGGGAAGTCAACTTTTAAAATTGGAGTTTTGTAAATTTAAACTTTGGGACCTGATTTTTGATTTCGTGCAAGATAATCCCTGACCTATGAATTTTTTCCAAAATACTATCAATTAAGTCAAGTAATTTCACTTTGTCTCATATCTCATGCTATTAATATTTAACATGTTTCTTCTCTTAATACTAGTTGGTGCACGTGCATTGAATATAGTTGGCTATTTAATAGTGTGGATAGATTGTTACCTAAAAGTAACTTTTAGGCTTAGGAAACATGCTTAAGTATGTTACCCAGTTAAACATAACCATGGTTTCGCCGGTAAAAGTTTCTCAATGAAAGTCAACATATAGCAAAATAACAACAATCAGAACTAATGGTGCATTAACTTTACCAACTTATCCCGAGTAATATTTCCGCCTAATATGTCTTCCTTTTCTAAATGACTATCAAACTATTTAACCAATTATTTTCTTATATATTTTAATTGATTGATTCTTAAGTATGTAGAGGCAAAACTAATTGACATAGCAACGAGAAAATTTCAACGAAAAATGCAATGACAGCTACTGAACACAGAACAGCATTGCACGGGACAAGGAAAAGTATTTAGCTTCTTTTCCATTAGTATTTTTCATACTAGCCAATCCAATGTACCAAAAATATATGCTTTAAAGCTTAAATGAATCTAATGAAAATCACTGTAAATTACTTGAGACCCGTCCCAAAGCTGACCCCAGTAAACACTGCCAAATCCACCTTCTCCAAGCTTGTTGTCATAATTAAAATTGTTTGTGGCCAATTGCAATTCCTTCAGAGAAAAAATCCTCCATGTCGATTCCTTTTTTCCTTGATTTTTCCTGTACAAATTCACAAGTACATATAATTTAACTACATTCTCAACAATAGAATTAACCCATACGCATACAAAATAAAAACCTCACCAAATTAATCTTTCTTAAAACGATTCAAGTAGCCCAAGTTTAATAATAGAAGTTAAAGAATGATAACTCTATATAATTCCAAAAAAGTAGTTTTTAAGCTAATTTTAAGCACAACCAAATAAAATGTCCTGATTGCTCTTCCTAAATATTTACCCAGCCAAGTAAAATAGAAATAACGCTAAAAAAGCACTACTCGTCAATCAAACAGTGAATTTTGCCTTGATAATCCCACAAAAATACTACTAATGCACATCAAAATAAAGCAGAACTAAGCGAGAAGGTTAGATACTTCAAGAACTTCAAAAAGCATTAAATGAGCATTGACCGAAGGGAAAAAATGAAGCACTTACCGATCCGAACCCCTAACGCAACAAAACACGGTGAAAAAATCCATAAAGTCTCCAAACAGCCAACCTCACTTCGTACGAAGTTTCACCTGTAATTCTACCACATATTCACAAATTAACATAAATCCTTCACTTCAAAATCACTCTTCAACTCTTTTTTTCCTTCTGGGTCACTGTGTGTGTTGCGGAAGTCTACTTTTTGGTTGCCAAACGGACCCTAGTCGTGGAAAATATTTCTTGAAGAGAAGATTGTTGATTGACAGGGAATATCGGAATAAAGAGATGAAGGATAGAAAAGAATAATATGCGAAGCGTAAAGTTGATTGGATGTGGGCCCATGTAGGCGTCGCTGATATTAGAAATATTGGTTATGACAGTGGTGTGTCTGCGTCGCTGTGTGTGCAACGTAAGTCTTTGCTAACCTTGGACTTTGTTTGTATATTTGTCCGGTCGTTGTATGTCAGAGTTGCTGTGAACCTTGGACTTTGTATATTTGTCCGGTCGCTGCAACGTAAGTTATATTTGTCCGGTCGTAGTATTTCAAAGAGTAATTAGCAGGAATGGTCTCTATCGTTTACATTCATTATTAAAATAGTCCCTATCATTTCAAATTTGATATTTATACCCTTATTTCAAACATTTGTTGCGGAATTGGTCCTTTCCGCCCATTTCCGTTAAGTCCTCCGTTAATTGATATAAAGTGGTTTTAAATTCTTCTTATTTTTGTCTCAATTTTTAGGGATTATTAAGGGATACCAAATGAAGTTGAAATATTGTATTTTTAATACCATTTCGAAGTGCTCACGACCTAATTCCCTCCATCCCTAACGGCTGTGAAACGGTCAACCGTCGCAAAAGTTAACACTCATCGAAATAGGCCGTTCCAATTATTTTTGTTTCAATTTTACGGGATTATCATGGAATGTCAAACAAAGTCAAAATATTGTATTCTTAATACCATTTTGAAGCGCTCACAGCATACTTTCCTCCATCCCTAACGGCGTGCGAAACGGCCAACCGTAGCAAAAGTTATCATTCGTCGAAGTACACCGTTCCTAAATATATAAATGATTTTTCTTATTTTTGTCTCAATTATACAAGATTATTACGGGATGTCAAATGAAGTCGAAATATTGCATTCTTAATACCATTTCGAAATTCTCACGACCTAGTTTTCCCATCCCTAACGTCGTACAAAATGGTCAACCATAGTGAAAGTTACCAAAATTGTTTATAAATGTTTTTTTCTTATTTTTGGAAAGGCATATTTTGACGAGTAGTAACTTTCGCTACGGTTGGCCGTTTCGCACGCTGTTAAGGATGTGGGAAAGTAGGTCATGAGCACTTCGAAATAGTATTAAGAACGCAATATTTCAACTTCATTTGACATCCCTTAATAATCCTGCATAATTGAGACAAAAATAAGAAAAATCATTTATATATTTTGGAACAGTATACTTCGACGAATGGTAACTTTTGCTACGATTGGCCGTTTCGCACTTTAGGGATGGGGAAAAGTAGGCCATGAGTACTTCGAAATGGTATTAAGAATATAATATTTTGACTTCGTTTGACATTCCGTTATAATTCCATAAAATTGAAACAAAAATAAGAAAAATCATTTATATATTTTGGAAAGACATACTTCGATGAGTGGTAACTTTCGCGACGATTGATCGTTTCGCACGCTGTTAGCGATGGAGGTAGGTCGTGAGCACTTTGAAATGGTATTAAAAATTCAATATTTCTACTTCGTTTAACATCCCGTAATAATCCCTAAAAATTGAGACAAAAATAAGAAGAATTCAAAACCATTCTATACTCAATTAACGGAGGACTAAACGGAAATGGATGGAAATGACCAATTCCGCAACAAAGTTTGAAATAAGGGTATAAATATCAAATTTGAAACGATAGAGACTATTTTAGCAATGAATGTAAACGATAGGGACCATTTCTACTAATTACCCTATTTCAAAGTCCCAATTTTCATACCCATAAATCATAATTGGATGTGGGCTACCTCTTTTATCCTCGACTAGCTCTAATAAATGATTATTTTTGAAAAGTTATAATCGATTTTTAAGATTAAAAAATTATTTTTAAATATTTATGACTAATTCTTTTTAAAGTAATTTGTTTGACTAAAAGAATTTTTAGAATAAACTAACATTTGATAATTTTCTCTTAAAATTCTTTTACAAGAAATCAAAGTTTTGTCAGACGAACCCTAAAATGTGTAAAATAGGTTGAATCTAGTTTGACAATCATTGTATAGAGTTGACATAGTAGTATTGCACGCTTAGAGACATAATTGATCTAAAAGAAGATGAGGTTTGGCATCTTCGCCTTCCGCTATAAGTTATATATTAAAGCCCTCACTTAAATGACTCAATTTTATAGTTCTACGTGTAGCTTTATATATATTCGTGGATTGAATAGTGCGCGCAATCTATTTTAAATTCGTGAAAAATAAGATTAATTTACTTTTTGTAAAATATTGAAGAGTGAATGGTAAGAAAAAAGTCCTTACTAGGGTTTGTTTGGCATCGTTAATGTTTTTTCTTGTGTTTATTATAGAAGAGTTTATTGAAAAATAAATTTAAGATAATTTTTTCTAAAAGTTTTTTTAATCAGATAAAATATTTCAAAAAATTATCCAAATATCTTCTTAATTTCAGTAATAATTTTTAACTTTGCAGAAGTCCTATCAAAAAAGCATAAGTACTAGTTAGAAATAATTGATTTATAAAGCACAATCTTTAATAATAGTTTGGGTTTTCTCTAGTGGGAGAACATGAAGATAAGATAATGCAAAAAAAAAAAAAAAAAAAAAGAAAAAAAATAAAAAAAAAAAAAAAACAAAAGTNAGTATCAAACAGGCGCTAAAATATTTAATCTAAGATTTTACATTGCAACCATCAAATAAATAAAAGAAAATAAAACTAGAAATTGAAATATGAATAATACCAGCAATATATTTGAATTTCGAAAACATAAAACTGCATTAAACTTCATGTAGTTGAACTCAACTTAGTTAAGAAAACCTTGAAGATCTTTTGAAACAAATCTCATGGTGTAGCTTAGAGAATTAAGAGAAGAAACAAAATGATAGGATTTAGGATTTATTTTTTCACTTAAAAAATAGAAATTTTTTTTTAAAAAATAAAAATCTGAAGCCCTCCCTGATTTTGGGCTTGAGGCAAAACTGGGCATGCCTACACTGTCCCCACCCCAAATTAGCGCATCGGCCCAACATCGGGCCAACCTACACCGTCCCCACCCCAAATTAGTTTGTTTTGAATATTGTCACCTTTGCATAGAGGCAGAACCGTGCCTGTAGTGGTTCTGCCACTGTTAACTTATCTACAATCACTATGGACATGATAGCAACGCTGTGCAAGGGTGGCAATATTTAGAAACAAAGCAATTTGGGATGAGAACGAGGTAGGGGGTGTGAAAGAGTTGGGAAAGATGAATTTTTTTTCCTTTCTTTTTAAATACATTTTTTTATTTTTATTTTTCTAGTTAGATACATTTGCATATTCTGAAAAGAATTTAGGACTCTGACTACAATTATTATTTTTTTGTTTATTCAAAGGGAATGCTAAATTTATCATTTTAACAGGCTTTATGGAGAAAAAAGACAAAAAATTTGTGTTAGATATTTAATGTAATTGGCAAGTCTGTGAACAAAAAAGACTAAAATTAATATATTGTAAAAAGTCAAGGAGTAGTGTGCAATTAATGAAAATTGTGATATTTTAGATCTAGGGTTCGAGAATGGAAAAGAAAAAAAAAGGGCGCCGGAATATCGCTAGCTTATCGCCAAGGTTTGCTTCAAGCGTCATAAACAGAAACTGCATCGCCCTCGCCTTCACTCGAGTGACAACATGTCGCTCACTCTTCGATCGAGCGACAGTGCTATCTAGAAATTTTTTAATTCGTTTTTTAAAAGCTTTTTGTTCGGCCAATTCATTCCCTAACCTATATATAAATATCCAAACGCCACAGAACGGTTTTTTCCAAGGTTGATCATTAAACAACACCTAACTTTTCATATTCTCTTCATCAATTATTTTTCAACCTTTATTAATCATAGTGATATGTTCTTTACGGTGAGAAAAAAACATTAGATTTAGAAGCTAAATACCAAACCGTTGCTTCCTTTATATCTGTCAGAGTTTGAAAATCAAGGAAATGTGATTAGAGTTCCAGTCGTTGAAGAACGCGGCGTTCTTCGTGAATTCACATAAGATGGACGATTTCACAAAGTTGAGAGTTGTTGCAGGAGAGCGCAATCTAGGAGAGCTTTGGAAACTGCAGTTGAGAGTTGGTGCAGGAACATAGAATCCAGGAGAGCTGTTGGAATTGCAATCAGGAGATCGAATAGTACGTGCCGTCGTCTAGTCTGGTAGACTGTAAGTTATAAATCGTTTATAGTGGATTTTTGGTTGGCAAAGTGCCCAAAGTTTTTACCCAATCGGGGTTTCTCCGTGATCATACTATGCATTGTTTATTGTTTTTATATTCTGCGGTATTCAAACATAGATTAATTGAACTGATTGCATAATCATTTAGATATAATCAATTAGTGACTTGTTGCTAATTGATGATAATTTATTAATTCCGCATAATCACATATGCATCCCCCTCTAAGTATTGTTAGGGTCGAACTACCTATTTTCAATGACAATGACAGTGTCTTGAAATAATAAGCGACATTGTTACCATCCTAAAGTATGTCAAAAGTATTTGTAATATTGAGGTTTCAAACATGCGAAAGCTTTTAAGTAAATGTTGTAAATTCTTCACGCAGTTTGTGACAACATTAGTGTCCTGGAAACGAAAGTGTCAATGCCATCTTAAAACAAACCAAAAGTAACTTTTGCCATTGTTTGATAGAAATTAAAATCTATATTTTTATTAAAGTCAAGTTAAATAATTAATTTTAATCACGTATTTTATAAGATCCACAACTTTTCAATCACACATTTTATCAAAACAGGGGCTTTATAAAAGAAAATTATTCTCTAAATTGAACAAT